AGTTTAAAATTTTCACATTAAATAAATAAAAAATAAAAAATCAAAGAAATAAAAGATAGTTTCCTCTTCACCCACAACCTACCTTCCACAACTAAAAATCAGTCACCAAAATCGGCCATCACTCCACCGGTTATATTCTTCCCCAACATTGTCCAAATCATCAAACACATACATCACTGGAAAGCTCTCATTCCCCTCTACACATCCCACCCAACCACCAATCCAACTCCACTAGATGTCGCCGAAATAACAACCAAAAAACCCCTGACTCACAAACTGTCGGCAACTCCTCTTCCGATCACACCCACAGTTGCGGAGTATCATCGGTCGACTCCTACAATTCAGACGTCTAATCTGATGATTGTATTTCAACAAAAAAGGACAAACAATCGATGCAACTTCTAGGATTCCAAATTCCAATCTCGCGCTGCTGCAATTTCCCTATTCACAAACTCACTTGGGAGAAATCCAATTGTGGTTTTGATTTGGGTTAGGTGGGATTTGATTTCTACGTTAAATAGAGATGAAATTAGTGATTTTTCTTAGTTTGATTTTTGAGTGTGGGGGTGAGTTTTCTTAATTTGATTTTCGAATGTGTAGTAAGCTAGAAGGTGGTGATATAGATTGCCGACATGTGTATTGAGTGGGAGTTGTGGTGGCAGTGTGGTTGTGGATGTAGGTCGAAGGTGGTGGCGGTTTCTAGTAAGATCTTGTAGGAGAAGAAAAGACCTCATCGGTTTTGATTTAGGGGTGGGTGGGTGGGGTGGGATGGGGTTTAAATATTTAATTTAATTTTTTAGGTTTTTAATTTAATGTTTTAACTTATTTAATATGAGAAAAATATAAAGTATCATTTTACCCCTTTCAATTTAATCAAAATTGGACAAAGTCCACCTTTCTTAATCAACTAATGGTTAAATGGATGTTTTCCATCCATATGGACTCTAGCTGCATATTTATGAAATATTAGGTATATTTGTTGGCACAAAATGAAGGTTATGATAAAATTTTCAAAAAATTGAAAAGATTAGGGACCGCTGCTGCAATTTTTCCCTCTTTATTATAATTGAATGATTGTAATGGGGCAATTGTTTCTAGTTTATTTTTGTTTAACAAGGATCGAACATGCGTAGAGAAAGACTTGCCCCTGTTTGATGGAAATAAAATCAAGAATTTAATTTAAATCAAAGTCAACAATTAATTTTAATCATGTATTTTATGGAATGCACAATTTTTCAAACACATATTTCATCAACTTCTATCAAAATCTACTAAAAATCAAATTTTAATCCCCACAATACAGGAACTTAATTAAATATGTGTTCAAAATGTGTATTTTACATTAATTTATTACTTCATCCATCCACAAAGATAAGCTTATTTTTATTTTCACACAAATTAAGAAAATGTAATTAATATAGTTGCAAATATAATTTTTTTCCTATGTTTTTCTTCATACACTTCTACATTAAATAATGATTTAAATAAGCATAGTTCATATTAGTTGATAACAAGATATATTAAATAGAAGTATATTAGAAAATCAAGAAATCTATCATACTCTCAATAAAGAAAGTGTCCTATAATTTAGTGCAGATAAAATAAAATAAAAAATGTACCCTACATTTGTGAAGAGGAGGGAATAGTTTATTTGATGTATTGTAACAACTTGAATATGGACCTCATCGGTTCAAGTTGCTGTCAAGAGGGTGTCGCATGATTCAAGACAAAGAATGAGAGAATTTATGGCAGAAATTGCCAGCCTTGGTAGGCTACGCCACCAGAATTTAGTGCCACTTTTGGGATATTGCTGGTGTAGAGTTAAGTAGCTACTGTTATATCGCCACCAGAATTTAGTGCCACTTTTGGGATATCGCTGGTGTAGAGGTAAGTAGCTACTGTTATAACATGCTGAATGGAAGTCTAGACAAGTTCCTCTACCGAAATTCACCGGCCAAAGATTTCAAGTTATCAAAAGTGTGGCATCTGGCATTCTATACCTACACGAAGAATGGCAGTTTGTGTTCCTTGGTTGTTTTTGAAGAAATTTAATTTATATTGGATTGTTTTTTCAATTATTGATCCTCTCTGGTATTCATTTTGAATCAACGAGTTAATTGATCTTGCATTATTTTCTCTTCAATTTCATTGCATCAATATGTTGATATCAGAGTTAAGAGGTCCAATGTTCGAGTTGATGCTGGAACATTCCCGTGAATGGACAATGCAAGAACATGTTTGAAATGGGATGGACACACCGACCTGTGCTTAGGGTGGATTCCCTGATTTGATTCTGGATAATAAATGACTGAATGCATTTGTGCTATGGAGTGTAGACACTTCAGTAAGTAAAGAACATGGAAAAGAATAAAGTGTTAAAACTATCCAAATGCCTAAAAGATTAACTAACTGTTGATAGTGAAAAGCCTAGCACATAAAATTTTATGATTCGGTAGTGGTAATACTTTCGATGCCAAGGCAAGATAAACCAACCCTTAGACAAGACGCGTGTTTTTTGTAAGAGAGAGAGAGAGAGGAGAAAAAAGAAGAGGAAAAGAGCTTCTTGGAATTGAGAGAGAAGGGGAACGAAAATCCTATGTTTACAAGGGAAGTTTTCGACCAGGGGTCATTCGAGAAATAAGTTGTTGGAAAAAAGTCTACTTCTTCTTCTTTCTTTTAATTAAAAGTAAGGTGAAATCATCATTTCAACAAAAAAAATCAGCTTTTTAACGATTGAATGAACAATTTCCTTTACGTTGCAGGAATTTATTTTGAACCTACTAAAGGGTTGTTGATAGTGGGAAACCAATATTGTGCAGTCAACCTCACAGTCACTTCCACCCCAACCCAAAGACTCCCATACTTTTTCAAGAGTCTACAACTACTGTGAATTCAGTTGATCTGTCATTGACATGAAGTCTATGCCACTACTTAGTGATCAATCCAAAAAGATATGCTTTAGACTTTAATACCCATTTTATGGGCATATTAAAGTTTGGTATTCATCCCCAATCTTCTTTTAAAAGTCCCAACTTCTTCTTTTTAGACCAGAAGCAATCAACATAAATGATAAAGTCTCTTGAGAGAGTCGAGACTCGCGAAAGTATCGTTTATACGTAAGTCAGTGCTAACGAACTCATAACTATCACCGAAATAGGTGAATTAAGAAATTGAAATGTAAACTTGACTTTTCTCCCTCTCTCCTTATTATATTATTTATTTATTTTTAATTTCATGGAGGTTCTTTAGATCATTGAAGTACCCTGAATCCTTAAAACTTGGGATTTTGCCACTTTGCCAAAGAAATTTAACAGATGCAGTGAAATATCCAAGGTGGCAACGGACAATTTGATGAAAAAGCTGTCTGTGTTTAAAATAGTCCAATGATGAATTGTTATGTGACATTATGCTAAGATTATGTCAAAGCTTCTTATTCTAAAACTTGTTAGCATTATCCAGCATTGCCATGTGTGACTGCTGATATCAAACAAAGTATGCAGACCCGGTTTATTTCATACAAAGAATTTCTTGGAACTCATAAATGTAAATAAAAAATTAATTTCATTTATGGGGGTGCGAGGTTTTAAATAAGATAATTGAACACAATACAAGTATTATAGGAATGGGAGTATTCGACCTGCACGAACATGTGCACGAGAACAAGTGAAAAATCTGCACACTATCTAACTTCCCCTGAACTATTGATAAGTGAAAGAGGTGATGTAGAAATAGATGCAAAACTTTTATCCATTATTTTGAATGAACTGGTCGTCTCAAAGGATGATGATGCATAGGAATGCAGATAATCATCAAATCCTCCATCACCACCGCCGTGGCTGTTGCCTGGTTCCGTCAGAATACCGGTTAGCTCCGCCTCACCTTCCAAGTAACTCACCACTTGCCTCATGGTAGGCCTTGCCAATGGCACATTGTTTGAACACATTAGTCCCAATCTCAATACCATTACAACCTCATTTTTATCGAACTCGCCATTCAATTTTTGGTCCACAACATTGAAAATTGTCCCTTCTCGCCAATGGGCCCACACCCAATCTACCAAAACCAACTCCTCCTCTGGCCCTGCCTTGTGTTCAATTGGTCTACGTCCGCACACAACCTCAAGCAACATAGCACCAAACGCAAACACATCAGAACTTGTTGTGGCCTTCCCGGTCCTTGTTAATTCCGGTGCAAGGTAACCCAATGTCCCGACTACACGTGTCGTGTTGGGGTTCGACCCGTGATCATACAACCTTGCCAGCCCAAAATCTCCAACCCTACCATTCAATTCACCATCTAGCAACACATTACTGGCCTTAACATCTCGGTGTATGACAATTTGTTCATATCCTTCATGTAAGTACAAGAGCCCCGAAGCAACTCCTTTGACAATCTTGAATCTTTGTTCCCAATTCAGAATGGATTTCGGGTTGTCGAACAGTAATTTATCTAAACTTCCATTAGGCATGAAATCATAAACAAGTAAAAGATCAGCACCCCGTCTACACCACCCCAGTAATTGAACCAAATTCCTATGCCGAAGCCTGCCGATACTAGAAATTTCAGACAGAAATTCTCGTACGCCCTGCCGGGATTCATGAGATATACGCTTCACGGCAACTTCGGTTCTGGGATTACGCAGCGTTCCCTTGTAAACTCGTCCAAATCCGCCAAATCCAAGTAGCTCCGAATCCTTAAATCCTCTGGTAGCTTTCTTGAGTTCTTGGTATGAGTATCTATGTGGGCCAATTTCAAGCTCCCAGTCCTCTATTTTGTCAGCGTTCTTGATTTTCCTTATCAAGAAAAAAGCAAAAAGTACTGAAGCTAACACAAAAACAGCTGCCAAGACTGAGCCAGTTGTAATTGCTCCTTTATTTTTCTTCTTGGGTTCTGGAATTGATGGGAGAGAACCCAAGTTCAGCGAATTAGCATCTCCATTCATCTTGAAGCTCCAACCCAAAACGTAATGGGAACTGGCTAGTAAACCCGTTGAAGCGGAGAATCCAACATACATAGTTTCTTCAATAATTGGAGAGAGATCCATTTGATAAGACAACATTGGCAACCTGGGTTTTGTCGAAGATGGTGAAAGAGTAACATTAATAACGTTCGTAACCGAATCATATTCGATCCACGCCAATACGGGCTTGCCACTTTTCAGATTCAGATCATTTTTCGACGAATCATCTGTAAAGTACGCTGCAGCAGCAGATTTGTTGGACTCCATGCTGTTGATGTCGATACCAACATGATTATCATTAATATCGCCGAACTCAAAATCTTGAACAGTATCGAATTCAACTGCAAACAGATGGTTTGAATAATTTCCCATATCGCTTTTGTTGAGCAGGCCCAGATACTGACTGGGAAGAGCCGATTTGAAATTCTGGGACGGCGAAATAGCGAAGGCGAGACCATGGCCGCCGAGTTTCGGATACTCCGGAACAATAACAAAAGCGAAACATGTGGAGAAGGAGAAGGCAGTGCCATTAGTGGAATTCTTGAACTGAAGTGGTGAAGGAAAAAATGAGTGTCCCATTAATCTACTGGTTTCATTGGTTAATTGAAGAATTCCATTTTTGTCAATCTGTGCCACCCCACTTAAACTTATATTGATTTTGAGATGATTAAATCCATTATAGATGAATTCATCAAGCTGAGATGAAACTGAGACGGATAAGAATGTTACGGTGAGAAGGAATATGGAAAAACTGGTCATTTGCGTGGTGGAATTGAGAATTGGACAGGAAGATTGGGTCAGATTTTGGACAAGATAAACAGAATGGTCTGTTAAATTTATGTCACATGGGAGAGTGATGGGAGTAGATGGCTTAGGCATCTTCAATTAATAATTGCAGATTTGTATTGTGGAGAAATCCTTTGACTGCTGCTGATCCTATAATTTAGTGCCTGTAGTTTCCATCCCATGAAAATTGATTTTCTTTGATACTCACATAAATTATGAAACAGAAAGACAGTTTATCTTCTTGGGACGGAAGGGAGTATTTATCTTTCAGTACTTATGCGGATTCAAAGTGACTAATTCTTGTTTGAGAATCTTGAGAAAATACTCTATTGACTAAATTAGTGTCATCGTATCTAAATTGTTTGGCTTACTTATCGAAGGGATATCATTCCATTCTCGAGGGTGCTAGGCTGCCCTGCTTACTTAAGTGAGTTGCTAGCTATGGATCAAGAAGGAACTATGTCACGATGTCATAAAGTTAGACATACAAGGACTATGTGACGACTTAGTGCAAAACTTTGGTAATGTGCAACAATAATGAAAGCATGAGGGTCAACTCACTCCGTTTTACAAAAGATTAGGCATCAACTTTCTACTCTGACAGTGTGTAAAATAAAATGGTACAATTTTTCAAAGATTTGCCTAATAGCTTTAAATGCATAATTATAACTTCCTTGACAAAGTCTACCGAATTAATTAAGTTGTCTTTCCGATAAATTTTCTATACCTTCCCCCGAAGAGGACGGCTTTGAGAATTACTATTCATTTGTGATTTTACCTCACATATCACTGTTATATATGTGGACAAAAAAAATAAAAAATAATTGCTGACTTCAATTCTAAATCTAACCGTAAGATTACACAAGTTGCTATTGCCATGAACGTTTTGATATTCACAACCTCTCAACTAACTATTATTTTTTACTCANAAGCTTGTAAGAAAATATGATAACTAGTAAACTAATACAGACCAAAACCGAATTTTTTAATCTGAATTATCGGTTTCAAAAAAAGAATTACAACAAACAGAACAATATTATAAAGTAAAAAAAATGAACTTTTAACTCGAGGCATGTGTTACACACAGTTTTCTTAAAACAGATTCGTCCCCTCACCGTACGTGCTTGAGGTGTAAATTGAGCTTCTGCTTCCAAGGATACAACGGTAGAACAGTGGAATTTGAACACCACAAACTTTATTCCGATGAACTGAGCTAGAGCTCGAACAATATCACCACCAGATTCAAACAGAAACGAAAACAAAGACTAAACTCAAACTGTATGCAAATTAATATTCAAAAGAATTCTTTTACTGAAAACTGGGAAAAACTGAGGTATATATAGACTTTGAATCTTGTAACTTACCAACTTACTTCATGGCAATTACAACAAGAGTTCTAGGAGTTTCAACTGTTTCAGAAAATGAAAAGTCAGTTGAAAAATAAAATGTAGCAAAACGTAAGCTCTTCTAAGGGGCCAATTTTTTGTCAATCCGGTCTGACATTCGTGAATGAGGTCTCACTCGCACACAAGTTCAAGGTTCGATGCTTATTTCGGTCCGTGATTTGCACCCCTCTACGCGCGCACGTAGAGATAGCCTCTATGCTACACATGATTACGTCATTCTAAAGTGTAATCCTTTATAAAGTGGTTTTAGTTTTCATCCACTTCCTATGTGGGATAAACTTATTTTTAGTTTTTCCCACCAACATAAACTCCTTTCACATAATTTGAGCTTCAATTTCTCATTCACCCGAGCATCATTTTTGACAAGTATATGATTTTGATGTACTCACGAAGGAGAACACAAATCAACTTTCATATTTCAAAATAGCCAACCGGGTCCCGCTCAAAATTGATATACTCACGGAGGAGAACACAAATCAAATTTCATCTTCTAAAATAACCAAACGGGTCCCACTCAAAATTTGTGCTAAAGTCATCCACAAACTCAATTTTTTCCAACAAATTATTCGATTCTACTTCACTCAATTTTAATAATTAGATTTTTTTTTTTGCAAGATATTTTTGACTTATTTGACAGATGATGTTAACTTTTCTCTAACAGTCCCTTCAGTTGAGACTCATTCTATCCAAATTGCGTCACTCATATGCAAACACATTTAAGTTCACAAAAAAATGTCCTAAATAATCTGAAATTCTTCTTTAATTTATTTCAAATCCAAATTTTCTTACTGACATATATTCCAATGTGAGGAGAAAATAAAATTGTCTGCTGCATAGTGCATCCATTCAAAAAGCTACGTGTTCAGCCATGATGGGAATCTTGATTTTCCAAGGCCAAAAATACACTCATTTCTACTTAATCTAATACTGTTTTGACATTATTCTTTGTATGGGAAGAATTCCTCTTGGTGAAGAGAATAATCAATTTTAGTGGCTGCGTATTTCTATATTGCCGCTTGAAACTGTGGAGGTTTTGGCCCTACCAATGTCTTATCAATGTTGTCAAAATCGACCCGGCCCGATCCGATCGGTTCAACCAATAAAACAGGGAACCGGACCCAAAATCGGGCCAAATGATGCCCAATTAATTGATTATGAACAAACCGCTAAATAATCATTGAATCGGCCGGTTCAACCGTAAACCAGTGAACTGGTCGCAGTTTTGATTATTAATATATTAATGTTAGATATCATTTACTATAAGTTTAAACTATTTAATTTAACAAAGTATACTATTTTAACATATTGATTTTTAATTTTTGATGTATCGAGACTAATTGTATGATAATGAAATCTAATTAATAAAGATAGATTTACTTTGAATTATTAATATGAAAATTTAAAAAATTATTGTTTTCTTAGTATTTTATTATTTTTGTATCATTGATTTAATTTTCAAATTTAATTTAAATTGCACTCGATTATTAATATATTAATGTTAGATATCATTTTCTATAAGTTTAAACTATTTTAATTTAACAAAGTAAACTGTTTTAACATATTGATTTTTAATTTTTGAAGTATCAAGACTAATTGTATGATAATGAATCTAATTAATAAAGATAGATTTACTTTGAATTATTAATATAAAAATTTTAAAAATATATATTGTTTTCATAGTATTTTATTATTTTTGTATGTATTTATTGCATCCGGTTCGATCCCGATTCGAGATCGGTTGAACTTTTTGACCCTTGATTCTTCACATTTTCCTTGTCGATGATCAGGTCGGTTTTCAAAACATTGGTTTTTATACTTTTCTTCTGGGTTTGAAAAATGTGCACCCAATTCCCTGATCTGTTAATATTACATAGGTTTTTGCTTGGTGTAATCCTCCCCTCACCAACAATATATTAATGTTAGATATTATTTTCTACAAGTTTAAATTATTTAATTTAACAAAGTAAACTATTTTAACATCATTGATTTAATTTTCAAATTTAATTTAAATTGCACTCGATTATTAATATATTAATGTTAGATATCATTTTCTATAAGTTTAAACTATTTTAATTTAACAAAGTAAACTGTTTTAACATATTGATTTTTAATTTTTGAAGTATCTAGACTAATTGTAGGATAATGAATCTAATTAACAAATATAGATTTATTTTGAATTATTAATATGAAATTTTTTAAAAAAAACTATTGTTTTCATAGTATTTTATTAATTTTGTTTGTATTTATTGCATCTGGTTTGATTTCGATTCGATCCCGATTGAACCTTTTGACTAATTGACTATTGATCCTTCACCTTTTTCGGGTCGATGATCGGGTCGTTTTTCAAAACTTTTCTTTATACTTTTCTTCTGGGTTTGAAAAACGTGCATCCAATTCCCTGATTTGTTAATATTACATTGGATTTTGCCAGGTGTGATCCCCCCGCGCCCCCGCCCCCTCACAGCCACAGGGTTTGGCTTTTTCCTATTACTTTTGGTGGGGCAATGGTTTTTTCCTCTCTCTTTTTTTTTTTTTTTTCAAAAAAGGTTTTTGGTTTTGTGTATTTTTACGGAGTTTTCTTTTTAACTCGTAATTTTTTTTTTTATGAATAAAACATAGAGGAGCGGCAGGAGCCACGAGGTCACTGAACAATTTGTCAAATTTTAACTGGTGTGGTCACCGAACTTTATTCTATTGGCTATTGCCATATCACATAAGTATATCATGATCAGTTCTCCATTAGCATAGTTTTTTTTACTAGACTATCAGATTAGCTCTTTCTTTATTAAAATCAAAATACTTAAATTTTTTTACTAATAAATATGGAATGTTCGGAAAAGAGGAGATCTGGAAGGGAAAGTGAGAATTCTCCCAGATTAGCATCTGAGTCAGTGTTATTAGTACTAGCAACTTCCCCACCTCCACCTCGCCCAAGATCTATTCAGGTTCCTTTGAAGACGTCGGTATCTAATGGTCAAATACATAACCCTCCTGAACTCATGGAAGCACCACTAGAGGAACCAAAACCTTGAACTTCCCCTTCTTCCTCAAAAAAGGAAAATCGTCCGCTAAAGGCCTAGAGAGAGGAACAACCCCAGCCGCGCCAGCAACCTAAAACACGACATTCCTTGGGTTAAAGAGTCTTCTAGGTGGGAGTAATTAAATAACTTGCATCCCCTCACAGCTGATTCTCAAGCAGCTTCTTCTTGAACTTCCCCTTCTTCCTTAAAAAGGAAAATCGGCCGCTGATGGCCTAGAGAGAGGAACAACCCCAGACGCGACAGCAACCTAAAACACGACATTCCTTGGGTTAAAGAGTCTTCCAGGTGGGAGTAATTAAATAATTAGTTTGTTTTATTTAGCTCTTATTTGAGCATCATTCTAAAAGAAAAAAACTCATTTTTCCACAAATTCATTTTTTAACTACACATGCATTCAATAAAATAATTTTGAACGTATTCTTCAAAAATATTACTATTACAAAATATATTTTTTTTTTCAAAAAATAAGACTCAAACGGGAGCTTACTAGCATGAAACAAATTAAAATTAGCTCATATTTGGTTTTGCTAAAAATCTGATTTTTAGTTGATTTTGATAAAAGTTGATGAGATGTACGATTGAAAAATTGAGGATTTCATAAAGTGTACGATTGAAAATAAATTTAAAAAAATAATGTCCAAACTGGAACTTAATGATGAACATAAAATTTCGTTGAAAGGTATTCTTGATCGTATCTCTAATACTTTGTAATGTAACTAAAAATATCTACACTTTGAGCTACAAATATGTCATGTACCCCCAAACGCCTATTATTGACCGCCTACAAAGTTAAACTGGGCCAAGTTTGTATTTAATAAAAGGGTCCTTTTTTTTTTTTTTTTGGTAACTCAGGTTTCCAAGTTTCGTCCGACTAATTCTGAGGGGATGACGACTTTCTCCCCTTATTCATCACCCGGATTAATCCGGATACGGTCACAACTTATACACACTTGAGTCGGACATTGAAATGTTGGAAGATAACATCTATATTGGAAGGCGGATGTTCACAGGAAGGAGAACCGTCGATTGCTTAGATGACACAATGCTCCAAGTTAAATCATATGTGAATTAAATTAGATTTTATTTTATCAATTTGATTTTGTTTGAGTCATTCATTTAATTATTCATCTACCATACTATATAGAAAATATTAATAATATTAAATATATTGTATAGTTGATAATAGAAACTAACCGGTAGAGATTAAAATCGGATTAAATTGAAAAATTAACCGTTATTGTTGACTTTTATTAGACGAATGAGACTCAATAACGACTATATTTTCAATCTTAATTGAATTTTAAACTTAGCCAAACATGCTCATAATGGTTGCATGGTTTGTGTGAAGCCCAATCTAACTGGACAATATCATATGATCCAAATTCTGAAATGGCAAATGTACCAAAGGATTGGCTGTAAGATTTTTGGCACGCGTATTTTGATCAATGTGAATGGTGAATTAGTAATTTAAAACTAAGTTGTTTTCTTATTGAAATGTTACAATTATGTTATTTAATAAATTTTATCTACTATACAATTCAATAAATTGTTAATCAAGTTTCCTCATATGGTTTAGCTAAAAATCAAATTTTAGCAGATTTTGATAAAAATGATTAAATTTGTGATTGAAAAGTTGATAAAATTTGTGGATCCTAGTAAACAGGTAGTTGAAAATAAATTTGAGAAAAAAATCAATTTTAGAAAAGTGGAAATTACACAAAACTCTAATTTTCAAGATCCATATTCAAAAATCAGATCACAGGTTTCATTTTTCAAAAATCAAATATTTCATGTTTAATTAAATATTATTATACAATTTTCATCTTAATCATAATTAATTTCCTCTAAACCCTAGCAATCATTTTCAATATTCTTCCACCTCCTTCTTTCTTCTAACCGTAATCTCTTCTCACTCTTTCTACCAATCCTCATCGGCTCTGCCATCTTCGCCGGTAGCCCAGCCTCACACCATCGCCGTGATACAGCACCTCCACAGATGGCACAGCCTCGCGAGATACCACCTCCACAAACGGCGCAACCTTCTCCTCCCTCTTTGCCGACAACCCAACCTTTCATCACCGCCGTGATATAGTACGTCCACAGAAGGCGCAGCCTCGTGAGATACCAGAAGGGGTTGCGCCACCGTGCGAGGGTCACCGATCAGAACCACCGCTCTCGCAGCGACATTGTGCCACCGTGGTTTTGAGATATTTTGGGCGTGAAGGAGGCGGCCACGCCAGATTTGGTTATTTTTGTTTGTTGTTGGTGGTGGTTTCCATGGTGTGGTGATGTTTAGGTGGTTTTAGTGGCGGTGGTGGATCGGGTACTGCTGATGGTGGATCTAGAGTTGGTGGTGATGGATTTGGCCGTGGTGATGGTGTGTCGGTGCTCTGCATCCTAATTTGGTGGTTGTGTTATGGAGGTGAGGTGAGGTGAGGTGAGGTGGTGGTAGTGGTGGATCTGGCGTGACGTTCTACCATGTGTCGATTTGTTTGAAATGGTGGTAGTGGTTCTGGTGGAGACGTTGGCGGTGGTGTTGATTTGTTTGAGGTGCGGTGTATGGGGGTGGTACGTTTTGAACGTGGTGGTGGATCTGTGGTGGGATTGGAAGCTGATTGGAGGTGCGATTTGGCAGCATTGGGAAAGTTCGTGTGGTGGTGGTGGTTTGTAAGATCTGGGAGAAGTGAAGTAGATCTGTGAGATGAGACAGTGGTTGTTTTGTGGTTGTGTGCAGTGGTTTTGTTGGTGGCAGCGGTGGTGGTGATGTTGAGATGTTAGTGGCGATGTGTCTGTCAAGGTGGTGCTGGATCGATGCGAGGATGTGGTGGTGTTTTCTGCGATGTGTTGATTTGTTTGAGGTGGTGTTGCTGTCGGGAGGTAGTGGTGATGGTGGTTCTGGCAGCGACGGTGGCAGTGGTGCTGCTGAAAGGAGTGGTGAGGTGGTGGTCACAAGTTGGGGGTTGGTGGTGGTCACGGATTATTTGATCGTTTGTGACCATTAAATTGGTTAATCTGTGACCAATAAACAATATGTGATCAAATAAAGAGATAAATTGTGACAAAAAATAATGTCTGACCTAAGAAATTGTTAATTTGTGACCGATAATTTGACAATTTGTGACTGTCTATTAAGTCGTGACTAATAATATTTGTAATTTGTGACCAATGAATAAGTTGTGGCGTATAAATTTTTTTATTAGTGACCGATGAACAAATTGTGACTTATAAAATTTCTGAATTGTAACCGTAAAATAATGTGACCTATAAAATTTCTGATTTGTGATCGTAAAATAATTTGAAACTTATAAAATTTATGATTTGTGACCGATGAACAAATTGTGATATATAAATTTTTTGAATTCTGACCGTAAAATAATTTGTGACGTTTCAATTTTTTATTTGTGACCGATAAACAAATTGTGACCTATAAAATTTTTGAATTATGACCGTAAAATAATTTGTGACATATAAAATTTGTAATTTGTGACCAATTATATAGAATTGTGACCTTAATATATTTAATTAATAAAATATATGTTTAATTTATTTATTTATAAATAAAATTTTTAAAAAATATGAGATTTGAAATTTTAAACCTTAAAAAATCTAAAATTTGAAATCTCAAACATTATCTGGGTGAAACTTTCTCTTAATAAAATATGTGTTCAAAATGTGTATTATACATTAATTTATTACTTCATCCATCCACAAAGATAAGCTTATTTTTATTTTCACACAAATTAAGAAAATATAATTAATATAATTGAAAATATAATTTTTTTTCCTATGTTTTTCTTCATACACTTCTATATTAAATAATGATTTAAATAAGTGTAGTTCATATTAGTTGATAACAAGATATATTAAATAGAAGTATATTAGAAAATTAAGAAATCTATCATACTCTCGATAAAGAAAGTGTCCTCTAATTTAGTGCTGATAAAATAAAAATAAAAAATGTACCCTACATTTGTGAAGTGGAGGGAATAGTTTAACAATAAGGTCAATCGGTCAATGAAGAATTATAGAAGCATTTGCATTCACAGTAACATTCATATTCACACAATGTGGACTTGATTTGAAATATTTCCAATTGAGGAACTTAACGCGCTTTTGCTTTACCTTGGCATCCGGTTCGAATTTTCCCAGTTTGTGCAGTCTTCACCTTGATATTTATCCAAATGGCAACACGTTTTTGTTTTCATTTTAAAATCTAAGCCGGTAACGTCATTGACATCACTATAGCGTGTAATAGGGTCTTGTTGAAGTTGATTATAGTAAATACATAAAATTAAGTTAAATAATTACTCTTTTTAGACTTCAATTTTTTAAATAGAATAGTTCGATGCACGTTAAATGCACTGCAGGTCACACAAACATTGTGTGAAAGTGCATTTAGGTCATTCATCTTAACTTTGGTACAATCAGATCACCCAATTTCGATTTGCTTATAAATCTAGTCAACCCTCTTCAATTTGATACAATCAACTCACTCAACTTTGATTTGCTTGCAAATTTGGTCACTTTGTCCACTACTAAACTAACGAAATACGTTGATCTCAACATAAAAAACAATGAATAGATATATGGAAAAAAAACGCGCTTTTTAAGTTAGTTTTAGTGTCCAAATCAGAATATAAAATTAGTTGAATTCACAAGACAATTAATAGAATGATATTGCACCAAATTTAAGATGAATTACCTAAATGCACCTCACTCAAACTTAGATGACCCGCAATGCATTACGTAAATTTTCGAAATTCAAATCTTGCAACTACTATACGATATATAAAAAATTGTATGCATATCAAGTATTTAATGATGAGATGGATTAATTCTATAAGCAATAAGCATCTTAAAAATATAATTTAATAAATAAGGTATCCGCTAAAATATAATTTTTTTTTAATATTAAATACTAAAGTACCAATAGGAAAAAATCTAGAACAAAGAGGGCATATTTCTTAAAAGAATGTACATGTGACTGTGAATTTCTTATAGCTATAGAAGCGGGCCACGTTGTGCACAAAAAGTCCATTAGGATGGAAATTTTGTTTAAATTCCAAAACTTTTTAATGTTCCCATTGATTGCAGCCTCTAATTCCGACCTGTACGACGCTGTCCATTACATTCGAGCCGGTGACTATCTCACAACATTGTCTACGTGGCGCCTGTTCAAAAAAGACAAATAAAAGTACGTGTTCACCGATGAATACAAAATTCAAAGTTCTAGCAAATCACTTCATGCCGATGATTTCGGTTTAGTTGGTAGAAAAAGGTGTTTGCAGTGGTTCACCACCCAATTGTCCTCTATGACCTATCAAATTAATGTTATAATTTTTTATTGCATCGTGTATTAAATCATTAACTACCACGTATATGTCACGCAGAGCAATTACGTTAGTGAGCGACTTTAAATAATATTATTCAAAAAATAAATTATTACGAAATAATTAATTTCTTTAATTGCTTATCTGTCTATCATCTCTATGTAGGCTTCTTCTAGGTCTTCATCAATTTCATTAGTTTTGCCATCTGATATGTATTCTTCTTCTATGTTTGATTATCTTTCTGTTGATTTATCATTCGTTTCTTGAAAAGTCATCAGATATAGCCGCTTCTGTTCAATATTAGGCGCTGGAATTTTTTCTGTTTTAACTCTTAAGACAAGATGCTCTTGACAAAAAATAAATATATTGTTCCATTAAACTACAAGTCTGGAATTATTATTTTGAGCTTCCATTATTGCCACGGTCTGTGAGATCCGTCTTTCATAATCAATCTATCTAACTTTGATTTTTGTATTGGTCTTTTTGGAAGGTCGAAATTATTATTTGATCTTTGCTACATATATACTCACGTGTATACTCTGGTGACATAATGTACAAGTGACATTTGGTCATTAGCTAGTGAAAAGAACTTTCACCAATTAATGATAGAATGCAACTTGTGCATTATGTTTCTTAAGATGTATACTTGAATGTACAAGTAGAATAATCCTTATCATTAACTACAACCAACAAAAAGGGACTTGGCTTGTGCTGGACTCATTGATGCATAGCAAAGTTGCTAGACATCACAAAAAGTTGTTTGGGACAGATCAAGTGTGCCTGATCCTCGGTGATATAGGACTAGATTGCGTCTTTCCTACCAGCTGTAACTTTCGAGGAAAATGATTGCGTCTCCCTTATATTTATCTTTAAAAATTCATCTAAAATTTTATTTTTAAAGCGTAGTCTCTTATGATGCATGGTTGCGAAAGTTTGAACTAATTAACAAGTAGGGAAAATAAAAATCAAACTAACCTTCTTCCATAATTCAGGATCAAATACTGGTGCTGTGACATTGAACATCTTTACAGCATAAGCAGAGGCATAATCTTTGTTGTCACATTGTTTCCTCCTCATCTCAGAAACAGGCCTCTTGTACGATGTCAAAGTCTGTCCATTTCCGAGGTTGTCCACTTCGTTGTAATAGTAGATAACTGGCCTTTGACACGGTTTTAAGTTCATAGCCCGAGTATTAAATGTGAATGGTTCATCATCCCAAGATCTCCACGTTAGGAACGTTTGCAATGGTGTGCTCAAATCCTTTGCCGACACAAAGGTCGGGTACAATTGCACGGTGTAGCCCCAAGAAATAGAAATCGACCAATTTCGACTGAGGTCGTAGCAGAAACTATGCTGTACTGCCCGACTAGGGTCGTTCTTGTAAGCGTCGACCAGTTTCTTGACCGAGTCTAACCGGCTCATGCCCGGAAACAATGGCTGGACATAGTCTAGATGGTGCAGTGATACCAGTGGTGCCAATGGATGTGCAGCAAGTAATCCATATGGGTTTCCTCTTATATCCAACTATAGTGCAGAAATCATTTCAATACAAAAGAAATCAGTATTTTAATAATCAAGAAAATTTGGGGAAATCTTGGAATTCGAGTAGCGTTACCTGATGAAAGCCAAGTTCTTTGGTAAGAGGAACACCTATCTCAGTCATGCAACTGCCAATCTTCTGATCAGAGCCGTAGGATGATGCATACCGATCGATGCACCCATCCAAAACTCTAACAAGCTCCGCCGCCAGAGGGTAACTAATGGCAAAACCACCGCCGCCGTAAGCCATGGTGTAAGAATGTACAACAGCTTGCTCAACACTCTCTGAGTTTCCACCAATATAGTACAACTGATTATGATCATATTTAGCCAACACATTCACCAAATTCTCTGTAAAAAAAACTGTATCGTCATCTCCCATAACAAACCACCTTACATTACCCAATCCTAGTTGAAAACTCTCTTTCACAATTCTTGCTATACGTATAGCCGACCTTGAACCGTACCAGCAGGTGTATTTGAATTTAGATGTTTCCTCGGAGACTTTATACGGTGGAGAATTCTCCATCCCAGCCGTGATGCCTGCCGGCTTTTCATCTAGCCATACAAATCCTCTAGTGTAATTAGGTCTCCACCAGATTTCACTGTAACGGCGGCGATCGTTCCAAGTCTTTGCCGAACCTCCGATGCCAAAAAGAATGTGGGATATGTTGGTTTTTTCATTATCAGGCTGGTGGTAGTCGTAGCCGGCGGTGTGAATAAAACTCTGATCACATTCTGAACAACTGAGCCATTTCTGGGTGGGGGGTGCTGAGTAGAAAATGAGAAAAGTCGCAGCAAAAATGAAGATTGCTGCAAAACTTTTCATGAAAGTTGTTAAGACTGAGTGTTTTATGGGCGGAGAAAGCAAGTATTTCCAGGGTTTTAGAGGGTCTTGTACGGTGGTTTCCGATGACATTTCTCACTCTTTCGGAGGATTACAGTTGTCTATTCCGGCGAGATTAAAGAGATTGTGTTGGGTTTTTAAATACAATTCCTATCCAGCAGTTTGGACGAGGAGCTAATGCTCATCCTCCGTTGGCCTTTTATTAGTATTTCTGGAATTTGCAATAGCAGTCCCTATATTTTCAATAATAAAATACTTAGGTCCCCCATTGTTTTAGTATTAGCTTTTGCATCTCCAACTTTCAAATGATCCTGCTCCTTTGCACCAAGACTATCGAAAAAAATAATCCTAAAGGAAAATCCTACGAGACAGATTTTTATTGTACATGTATAACCAAAAACCACATTAAACTATGGTCAAATAAAGAAAAGAGAATGGTGTCTTTATCGATTTCTACAACTGATCATTTATCTACGATAGTTCTTAATGTGAACCACCATGGTAAGACGGCCATCTCTATATATATTCTATAGTTGAACGATAAAGCGTTGGGGTGTGGTGGTGGTGGTGATGTTGGAGTAAGGACGAGGTTGGATTTCTTTTTTATTTTAATTGTTTTGACTTGTTGCCACATTTATTACCTAGATGCAAGTCAAGAATAAGTGAGAGCAAGTTTAAGCACATAAATCAAATAGGCTATTCAAGAGCTAATATAATTGGGGGACTCTAGCGCTATATCAACAAAATTCTAGGAACCATGGCCACAAATTTCCCTTACTAAGCCTATGTTTGTGCCACATTAAAATTTTTATTCTCATTCTTCTACTCATTTTCAACCATACATGTTTCAATAAAATAATATTTTACATCGCATCAATAACTTTTTCTTCTTTTTCAACCACACATTATTCATCAATCTACTATTCCAAAATACATTCTTTCAAAATAATGTGGCTCAAACACACTAGTGTCTGAATTAGGCGTGCTCGATCGTCTCACTTCTAAAATTTTGATTTCTCACGTAATGATAAATTTTAACGCGTTAAAATTTTAGGGGACAGTCCTTATAATTGTAATGAGAAGTCCATCTAAGTCAAAACAATTAAAATAAAATGAATTTTATATTTTTAAATTTTATTTGGACCTACTTGTAAGAGAAATGCTATTCATCCCCATTGGGATGCAACCCTAGTTTATATGGCCTTAATGTGATATTAAATGATAGGTGAAATTAAATAAGTCATTTAATTTCACCTATCATTTAACCAATTATTTATATCCACATAAATTGGAGATTCATCCCCACTGAAGATGAATAGCATTTTTCTACTTGTAATGTAAATACAGTTGGTGACATTGGGTGTTTGACACCCATTTTTGTGAAAGAATGTGTTTTTGAATAGTGATTGATGGAAGAATGTGTGGTTAAAAAGTAAGGAGAATTTTTAGGTTTATGTGTAATATTATTTTATTGATAGAATGTGTGGTTGAAATGAAGAAAGAGAAAAAAAATGAGAATGAGAATGAGAATAGACTATCGAAAAAAATAATCCTAAGGGAAAATCCTACGAGACAGATTTTTATTGTACTCGTATAACCAAAAACCACATTAAACTATGGTCAAATAAAAAAAAGAGAATGGTGTCTTTATCAATTTCTACAACTGATCATTGATCTACGATAGTTCTTAATGTGAACCACCAAGGTAAGACGGCCATCTCTATATATATTCTATAGTTGAACGATAAAGGGTTGGGGTGTGGTGGTGGTGGTGATGTTGGAGTCAGGACGAGGTTGGATTTCATTTTTATTTTAATTGTTTTGACTTGTTGCCACATTTATTACCTAGATGCAAGTCAAGAATAAGTGAGAGCAAGTTTAAGCACATTAAATCAAATAGGCTATTCAAGAGCTAATGTAATTGGGGGACTCTAGCGCTATATCAACAAAATTTTAGGAACCATGGCCACAAATTTCTCTTACTAAGACCTTGTTTGGGGCACATTAAAATTTTTATTCTCATTCTTCTACTCATTTTCAACCATACATTTTTCAATAAAATAATATTTTATAGAAAAATGCTATTCATCCCCAGTGAGGATGCACTTATTTAATTTCACCTATCATTTAATACTACATTAACGCCACATAGACTGTGGATGCATCCCCGGTGGGGATGAATAGCATTTCTCTATTTTATATTGCATCAATAACTTTCCTTCTTTTTCAACCACACATTATTCATCAATTTACTATTCCAAAATACATTTTTTAAAATAATGTAGCTCAAAAACACTAGTGTCTGACTTAGGCGTGCTCGATCGTCTCACTTCTAAAATTTTGATTTCTCACGTAATGATAAATTTTAACGCGTTAAAATTTTAGGGGACTGTCCTCATAATTGTAATGAGAATTCCATCTAAGTCAAAACAATTAAAATAAAATGAATTTTGTATTTTTAAATTTTAAATTTTATTTGGACCTACTTGTAATGTAAATACAGTTGGTGACAATTACTAGATGTGGTTAGCAGTATTTTTCCATAAAATCCGTGCAAAAGCAGTACGTTATTAATTGAAATCCTATTGGATTATTCCACCGCATTAGATGCAATTCAAAGGGTTAGGTGTCCTAAATGTTTTAAATTTTGGTGGTGTGTGGGGTAGGAAGTTGAATTAATTTTCTTGATTGACGGAAATTAAACTCAGTGGACGTGTCCACACTCGAATAGTGATTATAGGTGTGGCAACGCCATTATTTTCTAAATTGCTAAAGATGGGCAAGCATAGTCTACATCAAAATTCATTGCTTCTCAGTCTAACCTTAAAAAATAAATTTATTTTTCAGTAATTAAATTAGTTAGTCATATAGCCCCGTTTGTTAAGATTTAAAATCAGACACTATAGTACCACATGCTTTATTCCAGCGGCCCGTGAACGGAGTTTTGCAGAGTTGGGGAGGCGATTGAGCGCGTTGGTTGTTTTTCGGCTACGTTTTAAAGAGACAATTTCTTCCTTAGTGAGTTTCTGACAATTTGGTGGTATTAGTTTGGTTATACGTGTACTATACAACATATTCTGGTGGTAGTTCGTGTCTGCGCATTGATTGTCATTGATTTTCTTGAAATTTGGTGATTTCTTTTGATTGGTAATAGTTTATTAGTTGATTTCATGATGGAAACTGAAAGGGATGATTCACTTCAATCCAATAGTGTCAAATTAAATGATAAAAATTACTCATATCGGGGTACCGTGATGAAACTGTTAGTGGAAACCCAATAACACTACTAAAAATATGTGACAGAGTTAGATAATTGGGAGTCAGACGATGCAAAAATTCTTACTTAGGTTCATAATTCTGTTGAGCTATCCATTGGTATACAGTTGGCAAAATTTGACATAGCAAATAAAGTTTGGAATCACCTTTAGAAGCTATACACTAAATCTAACTCTGAAAAACGGTATTAGTTGGAGATTGATATACGGGCTTTACAACAGAAGAATATGAGTATTCTTGAGTTTTAAACTATTATGAATTCCATTTGGGATGAGTTGGTTCTTATAGAATTAGCAGGACTGACAACATGTGAGGAATACATTACTTTTAGAGATGAGCAACGATTAGTTCAGTTTTTTATGGCACTTCGCAGTGATTTTAAGAGACTTAGAGGCTTTATCTTGCTTCACACTCCACTTCCCTCAGTTGATTCCGTGATTAGTGAACTTGTAGTTGAGGAAACACACTTGAAATCTCTTGCAGGGAAAGTATCTCTTCCTCCATCTAGCACCTCAGTTTTTGTTGTACCCTCTTGATTTTCCACACAAAATCAGATCAAAGGTTATGTGCGAGTTGCTAGCGATAAGTGTAACTTTTACAAATAAAAGGGACATTAAAAGTCTTAATGTCCTAAGCTATTGAAGAAGCAGCAACCACAGCTACAACAATGATCATATTGTTATGACTGTTGATGGCACACCATTTCTTTTAGCAGGTGTTGATTCTATTAACATGCATAATTTATTTCTTTCACACATCTATTGTATTCCAACTCTTACTTTGATTCTTATTAATTGTGTCATTTTGGATACTTAGTTCAATTTTCTTCTACTGCTTGTCATGTGCAGGATCCTTGATCTCAGAAACTAATTGGGATGGGCCATAGATAAGGAGAGTTATATGTTTAGGACAATCTGAGACCACCACATGTTGTAGCCATCGGTATTAACTTGTCATGTTTTTCTTTGAATTCATCTTCTTCTAGTTTTTATTTATGACATTCTCGCCTTGAACATGTTTCTGCTAGTCATTTGAAATTTTTAGTTTCTAAAGGTATTTGTAAACTCGTGATATTTTTTATTATAGTGGTTGCAAATAGCTAAATTTTATGTATATCTTTTCCTCGAAGTACTTCTCATTCTATTGCACCATTTGATCTTATTCATTTTGATGTGTCGGTGCCCGCTCTTATTCCTACAAAAGGAGAGTCTAAATATTATGTGTCTTTTATTGATGATTATAGTCGTTATTTTTGAGCTTATCTTATGAAACGACGGTATGAATTTCTTTCTATTTATCATTCTTCTAGAGCACTTACTAAAACTCAACATTTGGCTGTTATTAAGTGTTTTAGATATGATTTGGGTGGAGAGTATACTTCTGTTGATTTCTCTAAATTGCTTGCTCTTGATGGCACAATTCATCAAANTTAGAGTATTGCAACATTGAATTTGATAATCTTTGCAAGGGAAAATGTATAATGAGGTACATGACTGTGAGACATATCCCCCCCCCCCCCCAACAAAATGGTGTTGCTGAACGAAAGTATAGGTACATTATAGAAATTGTTCGTTCCCTTTTCTTGCCTAATAAAGTTCCCAGTGAATTTTGGAGAGAAGCAATTGTTGCTACTGTGTCTTTAATTAATAAGATTCAATCTTCTCCCACTTTATGCTTATCGCCCTTTGAAACATTGTTTGGGCATCCTCTTGATTACTCCTCATTGAGAGTCTTTGGATGTACTTGCTTCGTTCTTCGTCCTGAAATAAAACGTAGTAAGTGACATCTCACTCTGC